AGATAATTGAATATCTATTAGAAAGCCTTCACTTTACTAGTATTCCCAAATAGGTAACTCTACTCACCGCTCCTATTAGCAAAGTTGATTCAGACCTTACTACAACTGCTGTAAATTCACTTGAGTTTTCGTGGTCTCACATATAGAATCCTGCAATGAGACCACCAATGTTGTTGCCTCAATCGTATGCGCAGAGCAAAGGCTGAAGGGACAAGTGATTGTAGTCAAGGATGGTCCGGCTGACAAATGGGAATACTTCAATAAGACTATGGATGTAGTCAGTTTATCCAAGATGCTGTGGTACTACCACAAGAGCGAAGTATCTGCTACAGTGGAATTTGGCGAGCGTACACTTATCAGAGTTCTGGTATCATCACAGTGACAGGTGTACTACTTAATTCTTATGCCCCAAATAATAATGCTATCTATTGTGACCGGGCACACGTGACCAGTGCCGTCTCAATAAATAAATGCAAGCAAATCCGGTCAGCCCTGTCAACTTTTCACAACCTCTCCCTTTTGTCAAGATGGTCACCCCACTCTACAGACCTCCTGATATGTTGACGCATTCAGGGAGTATACTACCTCGAACCACACGTTGCCGCAATAACGGGTGGGACTCTACTATAGTACGTCCTTGATTTAATCCTCACGTTATGCAAGGTACTGATACACTACCAGTTTTCCACCAATCTAGTGGCTCTGGAGCTTTCTTTTGGCCATCACCTCATCTGTGTGAGAGACGCACTACACACACTCACTATGTCAGGGACCGGGTGCTTATACAATCTATCTGTCCCTATCTTAGGGGTCTGGAGGAGGATAGCCCAGCAGAAGGGGCTGGATAGATGCCGGGTGTGACGGATGACACCCGCAGGTGGTATCTATTTTTCCCCCAATTTTCTCCATGGCCACAGGCGGCCTCTATACATACACCCGTCCTCAAGACCCACACAAGTCCTACCACCGATGCAAAAGGCACGAGCCGCATAACACTAATCGTGAAGATAGCCGAGGAACGATAGGCAAACCTTGGGTGCTTGCCTTCCTCATACTGCACGTGACTCTCTATAAACACGACCAGTGCCTCTCTACTCTCGTCTGAAGACTTAACTCATAGCACACTTGTATCCTACTCTACTACACTCCCTATGCAATTAATCTATGCCGTTGAGTAATCGCGGCCTAGCCACATCGCTCTCGTCCCACACGCACGCAAAGAGTCTCTTAAATACCAACACGCAAATACCATCAACACCCATCTCTAGCATTGGCGCAAATGTGTCAAGCCACCAGATTGCCCCACTTCACTAGAGCATTCAAGTAGTACACACGACCACCTATCTTCCACCACCAGCCTCCCCACACATGTTTGATGTACAGCTACATAGGGCACCCCGCGCACTCGCTAAGGTGACTCTCACTACAACTACTACTTACCATACGCATAACAGGCACCTACTACCATATCACCTCCGCCCTGCAAGCGACGGGCTCCAAATACGGGCCCTCACATCGCGGGCTCCCCGTCTGAGTCCAAGCGGATTGCAACCCGTACCACCCCGCCACCACATTACCCCTGCACTACGACCA